CTTGCACGCTTTCCTCTCGTCTAGGCAAAATAAAGTCTACTTTTCATTCTTGGTACCATTATGATACACATATGGGAAATGTTTATGTTTTAAACTCCGACATACAATAATGGTCTAAATATCAGTTACAGTTAAAACATAAGTTACTTATCCGTCAGGAATGCAGGTCTCACCTTGCGGGCCTCAGTAATTAAATGGGCGGGCGGAGTTTTAATCTATAGTATGGCCATAGTGATAGTGTCGCATGTTGACAAATGGCATGGATAATATATGGTGACATTAGGAATATATTTAGTTTCCTATTATAAAAAAAAACAAACTAAAAAACAATTGTTTGTGTGTTTTAGTCAGCCAGTCAACACCGTCATGCTTTCACAAACAGCGCTCGTTGAATCGGTTATTGTTTACTGTCCTCCAATGCGAGATTGATGCGGAGAGGAAACCAGCTGTATAATGGCATACGCCAACGACACCGGTAAACGGGCCTGGGAAATTCATACATGGAACAAGTGCCTAAAGATGGCGAATGCTCATTATAGAAACAAATATGTGTATGGGAGGAAATAAATATGGAAACATCAGCTCACCTTCATCCGCACTCACAGTAGTAAATGAAACTGATATATGACAAGCTGGTGTTTCTGTCACCATTCGTATTGTAATTTAGGTCACCGGGGTCACGAACACTCGGATCCAGGCATTGATTGGCCAATGAAGGGATACAGTTACGCGTGATCGATGCACTACTCGGCGTAGAATAACCAATACATGTTTGTATTAATACTGAAACATGTCACGTGATTTAACAGCTCACAATAGCTGCTTAGCATAATATTGTCATACGTATGTTTATATTGTCTGATATGAAGGTTGGGAACTGTTTGAAGTTTCCATCGCATGGCTATGCTGCAATTAGCACGCATTGTAACAATAGTCTGAATTCGTGTTATCAGATGATGACTGGTTATTTATTTATTTAGCATGTTTATCATTCCGCCATTTTCTTGAAGTTTTCTTCATTTTCTGGATTTAAAAGATAAACAACACATAAGTACTCAGACTGGGGCAATGGTGCTTGATTGAGAGAAGTTGATATTTACATGTAAATATAAAACATCATCTTCGCCAGCCAAGGATCATTTATTCGGCCGAAGCCTCAACATTAACCCTTGGCAGATTTCAACACGATTTATGTATGTCGCACGCGCTCAAACGACTATAAGATTCACCTCGGCTCATTTGCATCACCCAATCAGAACTCACGAAAGAAAATTGGTAATGATAATAATAAAATCCTTATTGCATTATTGCTCTAATCGAGCTTACTGCATGATCATCAAAAGAAAGCGCTTTGAGGAAGATGGCGTGTTTGTTACAAACACAGTCACAACGAAGACCGAATCGGACAAGCTGATATGTTATCAGTTTCGACAGTTTTGTCAGTTTACTAAAACACAGTTTGCACAAATATTTAGACATTCCTCAGTCCTCATTCACTCTCAGCAAAGTTGAATCAGAAAAACTCTGATTGGTGGCGCCAGCTCCTTGGCGCGCCCAATCAAATGACTCAATTTAGCTGCAGTGAAATACGGCTTTTCCTAACAAGGTCACGCACGAGTTCGTGGGCCGGTTATGAATGGCCGGATTTAGCGAAACTGTGCGATTCGGACGATGATAAAACATATGTAAACATGTTTCGTTTTTTTAAATATGATTTAATTATTCAAATTATTAGCAAATCAAGTCAATTTGTGTAGTTTTCTTGATTTACTCTGCAGATATAGGTAAAATATAGATAAGGCTTTGGCGAAATTTGAAAGAGCAACTAATAATTTTCAACTTGCTATTTTTTATAGATTTTATTTTTCAATCTGTTCGTTTATTTTTCCCAGTTTAAAAAATATGAGGTGGCTGGAGCCTTCCTCCCTTGTCTATTTCTTACACTAGATACCAGCCGATAACCCACCCCCCGCTCATACATACAGTTGATCATAGTTCCTGGGCTCCCTGTGGGTCGATTGTAATCGGTCGACAGCTGTCACTTGAGGGCTGAAAATTAATAAATACTAATTTAAAAAAAAAAATCTTCCGCTATACGTATATAAATAAACAAGTTGTGAAACATGGAACCTAGTAAATCGACACCTTGTCGGTTTCAAATTTCGATTTCTCACCTTAAAATGCGCAACAAAAAGTTTAGAGGGGATCGGGTGTTACGTTAATAACCATTGTTTATAATCGCTAACTTGGTTTTATTCAAAACTGCACAAATCCCGCGTTTTCTGATGATATCCGACGATTTCATCAACGAAAATGACCAGCAGCCAGAATCAAGGGGATTCGCACAGAGTTCTGGGTAAATCAAGTGCGCATACTTATTTTCAGCCAATCAGGCGAGCCGTAACAGCGCATCTTTCCTTGATTTACCTTGATTTGATTTATTTATCATTATTTCAAAATCATTGAAGGATCACTCACATATTATGGAAACTTATAAAAAAGCAACGAAAATTTTAGCATAGAGTAAATCAATCATAAACCAACATAACAGTTACAATAGATTTGAATATTGTGATGTCCTGTGGCAAAATATAATCATGCCATCAATTAACTATGGATCTAGTGTATGGCTGTCAGAAAGTACAGTGAATAAAAACAAACTTAAAAGCATCCAGTATCAATTTGGCAAGTTTCGCTTTAAATTTATTAGGAATGTAGAAATCTCCAGAAATATTTGGAGATTTAGGATGGCAAGACATCAACTTTATTCACGATAAATCCCGAATACAGTATTTGGACAGATTACAAAAGATGAATGATACCAGGTGGACCAAAATAGTTTTCTCTAAACTACATGAATCATACCAGAACAAGGCTAAACTTGCTTGGAACTGGCCAAAATATATCAACAATATCCTAATTCAAAATGGTATGGATCATGTTTATGGCCTAAAAAGACCACAGAATATTAGTTGGATTAAAAGTTTCTATAAAATTAGTGAAGAAAATGAAATAAAGCGTTTTATTGAAAGTATTCAAGACATGAAATCCCTAAAGCACTATGGTTGGATTAAACACAACAATAAAAAGGAAAATTATATAAAGGATCCCCTTGATCGTCATGGCATCTCACTCCTCTTTAAGGTGAGGTCAAACGCAATAGACTTGGAAGGGAATAAAACACGATGGGAAAATTATAAAGGTAACGGGGGTTGTAAGCTTTGTAATGATGGAAAAGAGGATGTTTATCACTTTTTATTTCTTTGCAAATCAACTCACCACTTGAGAAGTAAATTCTATTTAGCACTGACCAATACAATAATGGAAATCTATGAAAAATCTGTCATAGATTTTTCTCAGGAGGAATTAATTTCAAATTTAATTTTCTCTTCAGTGATGCTTTATGGGCAATCAATACGGATTTGGGAAATAATACATCAAACGAAATCCGAAACTTTTTCACCCACCTATGGAAATTCAGAAACGAGAAACTGAATGATTTACATGTATGCTTCTTGTAAATTGTTTTTCTTTTTTTTTCTTGTTGTTGTTGTTGACTTGTATGTTACTTTTTACGCTTTACTTTTTCAAAGGCTAATAAAATATTATTATTATTATTATGTTTCACAACTTGTTTATTTATATACGTATAGCGGATGATTTTTTAAATGAGTATTTATTGATTTTCAGCCCTCAATTGACTGTGCTGTGAATCGGTGGATCCTCGTCGGTTGGAATAAAACATGGTTTTCTTTAATTTAACGTTCAGTCGGCCGACTTTTTAAAACTGTGATCGGTTAGAATCGCCCGACTACATCGTGTTAAATGTTGCCTTTAATGTCTTGATCGTGATTTGTTCCCTTCAATCCCACACGTGGTACTTATATGTTGTCTTTATGCAAATTAGCAACACCCACAGCTTTCGCCATGTATATGTAGATTAGAGAACGGCCATGTATTTCTGTTTGTAAAAGTGTGGTATTTCATACAGATGAATGACAGTTCTTCTTCAATTATTCAAAAATAACCTCCTCTATAGCTGATTACAACCCTTGATGGACTGTGTTTTCAGACCACTTCTGGACTAACAATTAATACGCTCACCGTCACGTGATATGTATTGATTTTTTACACGACTGATTTATACAACTTGTTTTATGCAAATACAGTTGTATACCGTTTTACTGGTATCAATCAGGCGATGAACTTTCGCGGTGTATTGGTTTCGTCAGTTATAGCAAAAGTTGTTAATCGCATTTCGCAGCAACATGGTAAATGGTATTTAATTGTGTAGCATGGCTACGAGTTGTGATTAAAGGGCGGTAGTCGTCGCGCCACGCATGCGCGAGATATATGGGTCTCATAGAAACAAAGAAGTCGACTTTGGCTGTTGCGCAGATCAACTAGTACAAATTGACAAGAAACTAAGCTTTAAATAGGTATTTTTAGGTGATTGGATGGTATCGAAGGAGTCATCAGTAGGAATTAGTGCAAGTGGCGCCCAGGTCAAGCCTCATTCTTGTGATTCCCATTAGAAGAGCGCATGGGATTGTGGGAAAATCAATGTTTATCAACACAAATGTCACACATGCGCGGCGCGACGACTACTGACCTTTAAATATACTGATGCATGAACACATCAATAAATAATGATCACACAACAGGGGTTCAGTTTTCTAGCTTACGCCATTTTCCCTCAAATGGCTAGTGTAATGAGACATTTCTAATTATTTGTCATACTTTCGGTGTAAAACAGTCAATTCAAAAGAAAACACATAAGCCTCAAACAATTTGCTAAGACGGTCAGCATAATAATGCCAATGTCAATCATAGTGTGTTCAGTCAACAATATTCAGTGTTTGAAAGAAAAGAAAATAACCATTCAAAAGTGAAATTCTATTTTAGAGCCAAGAATAAAAATATGATATTCATATAAAAACATTTAAATGTCCATGAACGAAAACGTCACACGAACATCATGTGATGCGAGGTGGACGCGATCGAAGCGAGAGGTTGTTCCAAGCAGCGCCAAGAGCGGCGAACTTTCATTAGCGTCGAATTGCTAACACCCCCCTATAGGCACTATTTCCCAGCACCGCGTGTGAGGGAAGGCAGCGTTGTTTGGATCGCTGTGTGTGGTCAAGTTTGGGAAAGACTGGTCGTATTTTCGCGTCCATTTCTGGCTTTTAACCTATTTCATAGCATGAGCTACAGTCGAGGACCACCAGAAATAGAGGGAATGCATTCCCTTAAAGTCGACAATTTGACCTATCGAACCACGCCAGAAGACTTGCGTCGTTGCTTTGAGAAATATGGCGACGTCGGCGATGTCTACATACCACGTGATAGATTTACAAGAGAAAGTCGTGGATTTGCGTTTGTAAGGTAAATTGTAGACTAGCATATTGTCGAAGCTTTTTACATAGATCTGTTGAATGATAAATATAGGTGGGATCGCGTAAAATGCTGTCGTCTAGTGGCTCACAAATGTGTAGTGCAATTCGCCATTGTGCATTTCGCGCTGTCCCCTTTTGTGCCCACGCTTTGCATATATTATTATCATCTCGCGTTTGATTTTAGCGGCAAAAGATATCTGTGAAAATATTGCGCGGCAGAAGTTATCCCAATCATTACAAGTGAAACCAAACACTTGGTGAAATGTTGGTTTAAAATTTGACAATGTCGTGCATGTGCGATTTAGTAAAAAATTATGCATTCGGATATTTCAATGTCAAAATTAACTAGACAGACAGACAGTCACTTAATGGATGGTTGCACTGAAATAATTTAATTACCACTATTTATTGCCACAGATATTATGACAAACGTGATGCAGAGGATGCTCTGGATGCTATGGATGGAGCAACATTAGACGGCAGAGAACTGAGAGTTCAAATGGCACGCTATGGCCGCCCATCTGACCCACATAGACCACCACCAAGACGATATTATGGTGGTTACGGAGGCTATGGTGGCGGCGGAGGTGGTGGTGGTGGCGGAGGGCGACGACGAGCTAGGCAAGTATTGTAATTGGATATTTGGAACTTTAGATGTATATTCAGGTTTCACGAGGGTAGCCGATTGACACAAGAAAGAAAAATTCTGTTTATGATGGATTTGATAAAGTCAATGGAAAAGTACTGGGGCTGGCAGAATAATTCACTGGCTTCAGACGGAAACTATACATTAGGTTTTAATTGGTGCATTTAGCCAGCAGCAAAAAGGGGAAGTAAAACCCAACACATTATAATATACAGTATTGCAGGTACTGGACATCTCTACCTCCAAAAATCTCGACCCATTTTTCGTTGGACATCTCGACCCACCTACACCTATAGCCAAAAAAAGGTCAGCTTGAATATTCAGTCGTGATACATGTCAAAACAATCGCTGCCAGTGATATATTTCGCGAATAAAAAAACCCAAAATAAATACAATCGAAGGCGCCGACCACATGTGCGTTGGAAATGTATAGAACACGCGACAGTCTCACGAGCCTCTTAAGCTCATGCAAATGCACACACGCGTGCTATTTTCGTATATTGGCCTTCAAATTATGTAGCTTTCTTGTATTTTCCTCGCTGTTCTAATTGTTTTTACTGCTCCAAAGTAAATAGTTTACTTTGCAGCTTGGTGTTACCAAAAATGTTTCACTCAAGTAATGTTGGAGGGTGATATAAAAAGTTTTACCATTTCCAATATCCTTTAACTAAGGAGCATATTTTACTATCTGAAAGCATTGCAATTGTTTACACATTAACAAAGCTGAGGCTGAAAAATGCAAAATAATGTTAAGTGTCAAGTACTTGTGCAGCAAATCAAATTCATAGCACCTAAGAGCATTCAGCAACCCATGTGTAAACATTGACAATCGCTTTTAAATGTGAAAATGGTCTTTCACACCTTTATCCAAATTACTCTCTCTGGGGGTGCTTCTTGTTCAAGATAAACCTCTTCCTTTTGAAAAGCTGGGTAATTTGCATACTTTTGTTAATTTATTCAGTGTTGCCTTGTTCCTGTTTGTGTAGATGGAAAAATATGCACATGGTTTAATTTTCGCCAGTTTGAGGTTGCAGATTTATTCACTAGGTTCTAAATTCATTAGTTTGTGAAGGAAACAATTCTATCTTTGAAGTTGAATATAGACTGGATTTTAATTTTAATGCTGGCTAAATAAGCTAAAATAAGACACTAGTAATGAAGCACTGTACAACATCTTTTGTAGTTGCATTTTTTTAATGCACATCAACACTGACTTTACACAATTTGCTAGCATTAACATACTAAATGCAAAAATTCATGTATGCTTGCCTAAATCTAAGTTTGCAAAAACTACTTTGTAGCAAGATGTAAGGGCTTACTCTTGTCTTGCATTCCTTGTGCAACAAGTGAAAGTAATCTTTGTGAACATCAGATTGCTTACAAATTGCGATGGTGTTACTGATTGCAGGTCTTATTCAAGATCAAGATCACATTCAAGAGGCAGATACAGGTCCTTTATTTTATTTATCATATTGCAGTAGTGTTGCCAGATTATCTCTGATTCTATTTTAAATTTCTTCATCTTGCATCTATATTTGTATTAAATTCCAGAATTGTTGAATAACCTGGTATTGAGTGTGCACTAACCTGTTGGTACATTAACAGTCGTACTAGTAATGTTTTATCATTTTGATAGCTGTACAAACGAGTGGAATTTAGATATGATGTGGTAATACTGGTGCAGTTCAGTTAACGAGATGATTTACTAAATGTAATTAAAGTTTTCCTCCTGATTATGCATTGCAGGTCCTACTCGAGGTCCAGATCTAGATCCCCACGTCGCAGACGTTCTCGCAGCAGATCCAGAAGCAGAGACTACCGCCACAGTCGTTCTAGATCCCCACGCAGATCTCGATCTGGTTCTAAATCACCAAGAGGTTCAATGCACAGTGGTTCTCGGTCACCACCTTCAAAGTCTGGCTCCATACCAAAATCTATTTCAAGATCGCGTTCAAGATCTCCTTGACACTCCAACTAATGACATTGATGTTAATACTGCTGTAAAGTACTGTAGTGGATAAGGCTTTGCAGTCTTCAACCAGAAATCTATATATAACCTTGACAAGTAGACCAAATTTATTAAAAGGTTAAGATCACTTTAAATATTTTTTGTAAGGGTGATATTTTAGTGTTGCTTTAGAATTGACTAGGAAATTATGTAGTTAATCAGTACAATCATTCTGTACTTGTATGTAGTGTTGAGAGTATGTAACTTGTATTTGCTTACATTCAAAACCAAGTCAGACCACTTTCCCTTTCAGGATTTTAGAACTGCCAGGACCCTTCAATTTACTTTAACTTTAAAAATAAGGTAGTCTTCCTTGTATGTAACTGTGATTTTCCTTTATTGCCCAAATGAATTGTTTTTTTTTGTTTTTTTTTGCTTCTGCGGACCAGTCTTTTGTATTGTTGAGCCATATAATAAAGATTTTAACATTTTTATTGTGAAAACTTGAGACTAACATGTTTACCTTACTGTTATTTCCCCTACTACTAGGAGCAGTACGGTGTTACTGTAAGCTGTCTTGTAATAGTAGAGCATGTCTGTTGGCGGTAGCTGAATGCAGGCTGTGTGAGATAGCAGTGCTCCTGTACTGAAAATAAGCTGGGGTTGCTGTTAATGCAGTGCAGTGCAGAATGGCGAGATAATTTCGGACTTCCTGTATGAGATCCAGAAACAAGAAAGCCAGTCTATGCTGATTTGAGTCTGCTTATCTGTAAACCAGTTTCCACAGCTTGGTTCTGCTGGCAGATCTACCAGATAAAAAAAATTCAGTTTGCTGTTCACTGCTGCTATTGTGAAATGAACATTGGAGGGGGGGGTCTGTGATGATTTTAGTGCTTCCATTTCAAAAAATGTCCAACTTCAAAATTATGCTATTAATGTGGGATTGTCCTCATTTCGTGTTTAAATTCAATATTAGTACAGTGCAAATTATTGGTACTCTGTACTTTTTAGTTTAGAGTTTCTAGGAAAAATCGTTTGTTGCAGTGAATAATTTACCTGGGTTCATTGGGCAACTGGTTCCAATGACTTGTGTAAGGATCTTGTTGAGTTTATCTATTAATGGTTTTTGAGGTAAAATGTGCTAGATTGAATACTTGCAGAAATTGATGACAATCGGGAATGTTTGTGGGAATAGCAATGAATTACGTTCAGATCTCTACACATAATTTGTTGCTTTTGAATTTGCACTTGAACTTCGGTTTTCCCAAGTATTGCTATAATTCAGAGGGTGTTGAACTAAAAGCAGATTCCTGCTAATTGAATATTTTCTCTGCTCTGCATTTGAATTTGGGGATGAATCGTAATTTGAGTTCCTTCTGTCTGGAAGTGCAGTTGTGATCCAAGATGTAAACTAAACTTGTATCAGTCTTTGTCGGTGTTTGATAATTTTCTGGTTAACCACCACACTATGTAAATTGTTTTTGTTGATTTAGGTGATTGCAAATTTGTGATCATTGACATTCCTCCGAATAGATCAAGTGTGTGTGCTTTGTCAGCATTTCTCTGCCCAACCTACATGCCCTTTGATTACTTGTGTTGCCTCTCCAGGGTTGGTGTCAGGTAAGTAAAATAACAAGTTTTTCCCCCCACAGCACTGATGATTCCAGTCTTGAAGCTGCTTCAGATTCCAGCCTCTGGGTTGAATAACGTACATTGAAAAATTGCAGTTCGTGCATTATATACGATACTCTACATGCGTTTCAAAAGGTGGGTGCTTACCAGAGCATCCATTCGAAAAGGGAATGTAAAAGACATTTTGAGTTAACTCTGCCAGATTGAGAGGAATCTTATTTGGAAAATAAAATCGTGAAATTAGTTGCATCATTGACTTCAACACTTGGAAAAGTTATGAGAAATTTACAGCCCTTAGAACTGTTAAACGATGACAAATTTGGTGCTATTAGTTTCTGGTAGAAGCGATTTCAACAATTAATTTCATACTCTGCAGTTATTGTTAATGTCAAAATGCATACTAATTAGGTAACGTGTCTCTGATGAAAACTGCTATTTTGGAACAGTAATACTGGAGGCATTTGGTAAAGCAACTCTGAAGTGAATTCATGTTGATGTACGATCTCTTGGAATTTGTTAAAACTGGTAATTGACAATTTTTGAAAGGTAAACCGAATATGCAATGAAGTAATAAATGCCCTGCAGTTACAAAGCATAACATATTTTGGAAAAAGCAAAGACTAGGTTTTATGACTACTGTTAAATTTGGGTCATTGTGCAAGATGGGCATTTGTGCAAACGTGACATTGTAAACAAAAGTGGGGGTAGGCTTATTAGAGTACTAAATCATTTGACCAATTCAACTAAATTGTAAATGTTGGCAGGTAGTAAATTATATAATTTCATAAGATGAAGTTTCTGAACATTTGATCCTTTACAAAACTGATTTTTTCATAGATAGCTTGGCTGGTCATATAGACGATTGTCAGTCGGTGGGTGGGGGGTGGAGTTGCTTTTTTGACTTCTTTAAAACTACCAGCTCAGTTGTTTTGATATGTTAGGGACCTTAAGTGGACCTGTCAGATTTGTTTATTTTATATCTTCAATTTCAGATAAAAAAAAAATGCTATTTACGATTGTTTCTTGAAAACTTACCAGCTCAGTTTCTTTAATACACTATCAAATTGAGCTGGCAGTTTTTAAGTACTGGTAGTCTTGTGGGTGTGTTGCCAGATTTTGCTACCACAATGCTATTGTAGGACAGTCGAGGCTATATTTCGACCATCGCGACGCTTGTGTTGATTTGCAAAGATGTATGCTGCTTCAGGCAGGACTGTTGCCTTAGATGCTGTCTGGTTTGGCATGGTCCACACTCGGTATCCTGAAACAGTTTTGGTCATGGTCAATGTTCCTGTGTACACCAACACTAGTTGAGTACCGGTAGTTGCATTCATGGGAAGCTCTTCAAATGGAATGTTTCTTCAAAAGATGGGATAAATCATTCAGTAGCCGGACATGGCCCCAGATGTTCAATTCAATTTTTATGTTTAAATTGCCAAATGTGAATTTCAGTTTCCAAATTAAACTTTCTATAATTTGATGTCTTATTGTAGATTGTTTTTGTACAGCTCCTTTTGGGCTTGAGTAACTGATTTCATATCTCGAAATAACACCTTGTATGTAGCGGTGAACTTGCATAAACCATAATTTGTCTGCTTAGCTCATTCAGTAAACAAACTCCTAGTTAATGTGGGTAATTGTTCAACTCCATGATGTATGTAGATTTGAAACTATCGGTAGAAATAAATTGATATTCATTTTGTAGAATCTACAAACCAAAAGGTTTCAACAAGGTGATTTGGAACTTTGGTAAGATTAGTTCTATGTAATCATTTCGGTGTGATGTGGTTGCCATTGCAGTATCGCATGTTATGAGCCCCAAATCTACAAAAAGAATTTTAAAAAAATGTTCACAGCTGCCAACTATTTCGAAAAATTTGTATTTGTTACGAGAATAGGATAATACGAATCAACGAAATTTAAAAAGGCATAAAACATGGCCAAAGCGGAGTTCACGATTAGTTTACCCTACTCTGGTGGAGAGTGCGTTACTGGGTAAAATAAATGTACATTTGAACTTGTCGCGAATCATGTAAAAGCTCTTAATACAAATCCCCATGCATGTTAATGACTAATTTGCATATTAACCAAATTTTTTCTTTCCTTTGCTACTACCAACATGTTTCAATAAAACTTCCTTCTTGGATTATTTTGGGTGATGTGTACACCTGATTAATAATGCACATTGACATAATTTACATATTAATCGGCCAATTTTTACTTGTTTTAGAAGATGTGTAGAACCAACCTGATCACTGCAGTTACTTTTTTCAAATGCTGCATTTGATCTGTTAGAAGCATGTGTGCTTGTAAGTAGAAATGACACAAGTCTGGTCAAAATAAGATGCAAGCAGATTTTGTTTAAGGTGTTACAAAGTCGTGCATGTTGATTTCATTTTGTTCTGATGGCCATTTTTGTCTAAGCCAATAAAATTATTTGAACTTTTGAAGGATTTTCTAGGCATGTCTGGCAAATTTTACTTCAGTTTTGTATGAGCACCATGCATGTATTACAATTGTCCAAATTTTGTTTGTACGATACGAGAGATTAAATTTCTTAGAGCTACCAATTTGACAATATAACTGCAAGCAATGATCAGGGTGGTTCCAATTGGCCATAGTTTAAAGGGGGAACCGCTCAATCCCATGGATTGCACCAAAGAATCATGGGACACTATTGTTTATGTTTACAAAGTTAATCAATCTTTTGTTAGCCATTGTAATTTTGATCCAGAAAGTAAATTTATTGTGAGATTAGGCTCAACTGGAAGTGCCCCTTTAACAATTATAATTAGTTGATGAAATAATGGCCATATACGATTTGATATTTTGGTGGCAAAAAATTTAGCACAAGTTGCATGGTTCTATCTGCAACTACTTAATATGCATGGTTTCAACCAAAAACTAATCTGGTCTGCATATTGTCCCTGAGCATCTGTGCATCGAGTATTAACTCGTTAAATGTGATGTGGGCGAGGGGCTTCGTCATCCATGCACTTATTGGTAGCGTGCATAAAAATGAATCTTCAATCGAACTGGAAGTAAATGCTAGTGACATAAAGAAACAAAATAATCCACAGGGAGCCCAGAAACTATGATTGACTGTACGCACTCTCTATGAGAGGGGTGGGGGGGGGGGGTATCGGCTGGTATCTAGTGTAAGAAATGGACAAAGGATGAAAGCTCCAACCAGCTCGTATTTTTTAAACTGGAAAAAACAGATGAACAGAATGAAAAATATCTATAAAAAATACCAGCCATAGCGTGTCATTGTTTACAAACAAGCGTCTATGAGTTTTTAGCGTGTGTTATGGTCGCTTGGGACTCAATTCCCGCGCGTGCACAGGTGACGACCCTCCCACTTTAAACAACCATGTAAGAACTCTGTTGTCTGACCTACGTCACCGAAAAAAGTAGCGTCCGTGCTCCAGTCATCTGGCTATGATATGCCAGTACGGCGTCAAACAGAATCAGCAGTTGAAATTTCTAAACCGCTTTGTTATATTTTCAATCCGTCTGACAAAGTGCCGAAAGCTTTTAAAATTGCCAAAGTAACTTTATAAAATGCTCAAAAAATTCTCCTATGAATTATTGAATTTCTGTTCTCCCCATTCTGAGTAAAATGCTCAGATGGTCAACATTTACAGCAATACATTTTATTCGAACATCAATATGGCTTTCGTAAATACTATAGTGCAAAACTCTTCATGGTCAATTTAGTGGATGATTTACTTTTTCAGTTTGGTGAAGGAAAGGATACAGTTGGAATTGTTACTGACTTCACAATGTATTTAATACTATGAATCACGTCACGTTACGTTAACATTTGCGAATAAACTAAGAATAATGGACTAGTGTAGTGAATCTGCCTGGGGGGGGGGGCATTAAGTATGGGACCAGGCATAAGCAGAGGGCGTTTACATTGCGAACATGGCCTGGTATGGGTCAGTCTGTGCATACGAGTTTCCATGGTAATTTACTAATGTCAGCCAATCAAAATCAATGTTGAAACAACTCCGTGCCGTCCACTTATGTGCGTGGTGATTCACCAGGCTGTACTTGAGTGCACTAGTAAGGACGCTCCAGGCCTGTTGAAACATGAACATTGTGGTACCGGCTCCTAAATCACAGATTTGAAAATTATCTGACTGACCCCAAGATACTGTGGTGGCTAATAATACTAATATGCTGACTTATAACCTAATCTTAACACATCATAGCCATAAGACAAAATTGTTGCAATGATTTTATTGTCCCCAGATGAATACATCAGTCGATCAATTCGCTGTATGTCATTCAGGTGCTAAACTGTGTAATAGTCCCCCTGTATCCTTAAGAAATAAGACCAAGGCCACATTCAGAAACATATCAGAGCAGCTCTTCTTGAAACAAGTGTATTCATTCAATCTGATTTTTTATTCGCAAGTCGCGCAATATTTCCCTATATTACGAATATAACATTGTTTTATTTAAATTTATGTCAATGTCATTTATGAGGTCTGTCCCGACTAGCTGTTACCAAGTATTACATATTCCTGTGACCTACTCCTGTAATTGTGTTTTCTATCAGATTGTATCACAATTACTTTAACAATCACTGTGTTATGGGTAATAAACTTAGAAAATAGAAATTAGTAATATCTGAAATCTGGGCTCATAAACAAGAAGCCATTTGGTTGCTATCAAATGGTTTTAGAGTGATTGTCGGAGAGCCTTATATTGAAAAACGTCAGTAATTGAGAGATTGTTTTAATGAAAAATTTACGCAAACTCCACAATCCCATTTTCACAATGACTACCAAATATTTGACAATGGTTAAAAATAATTTCCCTATCAATTTTCTTTGGAACATTGCTAGTCTACAGTTAGTTGTAATTTGAATAAGAATGACAATATGTTGGTCATATTTACAGCTAACGTGGGTTACGTTAAATAACCTATCAACCCTAGTGAAAATAGTTGTGTCTAGGGCGCCGGCTGTTGGAATTGAATGTACCAAAATCAAAACAAATGCCACTATGAACATTCCAAGGAATTGCGATGTTACAAGGGAAAATGATAGCAATATAGCGTTTTTATGATCTGTTTATTTAGGGACAAGAACCAAGCTGCAGTGAAATTAGTTGTCAGTTTAGTTCTTGGGATGTCAGTGGATGTGAATACACCGTGGGCAAATGTATTGACTGTTAGGGTACAAAATAATACAAGATGATAATAGTTAATTAATATGCATATTACTATTAATTAATGTTTGGCATCAGTCAATTTAATTTGCATAACTGTAATGTTCTCTGTGTAACTTTGCAGCAGTTTAGCCGACAACTAAAGGAATGTTTGTAAATGTTTAATTACATGTAAATGCATTTGCCTCGAAATATAGATAAATTTATTTAATTCACGGCACCTAATTTTAATTTCACAATCACGCTAAAAAGGCCAAATTGACAATTAAGTATATTTTTTTTGTAACACAAAAAAGCAGTCCCGACTTTGCCAGTCTATATAATATACGTGATGTAAAACGCGACTTTTTACATCCGGGTGTTGAGGTAAATTGTAGTATCCTAGGGGGTACATTCCCACTGACGATGTTCTTAGGGAGCATAATGTAAAATGGCGGAAGACGTAGGTAGGTTTTTTTTTTGTTGCGCAACCAAGTAATGCGTACATAGATCATTGCATATTATATTTTAAGGGATACAGGTTGAAACTGGTATGTAGTTTTGGGCTCTGTCTGTCAAAAATCTTGCTGTTTGTAGATGTGGTCCATTCCCAAACAGACGATTGTCGGACTATTGAAACATGATTGAGTTGAGATGTGTGACCCGTGCACTGCCAAGGACCAAAACGGATGAGTCACTTCCGCATTGTCACAGGTGCATGTTGTTGTAAGCGTAATTTTGCTCCGATCATCGTTCATTCGAGATGCTTCAAACACTATGCGTTATTCAAATGTATAATCGTATATCAATACACAACCTTTCCGTCATTATTACTCTTCAGATTTACATGAAAGCGCCCTCATGCACATTCAAAATTCTAAGAAGGCCTTAGTCACTATTAATACATTGCCAGCACGTTTTTTCACAGACCTTCACTTTCCCCCATGTTCAAATGTTCATACTACTGTGTAGCCTGATGTCCAGCCACAATCTCCCATGTGAAATTTTATTTCTACGAATATACACTGCCAATATGCAATCTTTCTTATACTCGTCGTTAATTGGTTGAGGCATTACAGTTGGTACTACTTTTAAAGATGTCCTCCAAAACATTGTCACCTGACAAAAGCAGTGTTTGTAGATTCTGGGAAGGAAAAGATCCAGTCATTCTCAAAAACATGCCTCTATTATGATCACCCCCAATCTCATTAAAATAAGATCCTAGTTTTGACTTTTGTTTTTTATATATTTATTTTATTTTGATCTAGTATGTATTTTTGGAAGTTTTGGTAATTGCAAAAGCTAACAAGGATCTGACCAAATGCCTATGTAAATTTTTTTCAAATCTTGCATAAGTAACAGCCAATCACAGACCCCTTTTATACAAGCTGTCAGTTGCTTACTTTTCAGTGTAGCGATACTCTACGGGCAATCTTTCTGTACATTATATTTTGCCCTCTTGAATAAACCATTAATAAAAAATTACTAGTATACTTTTTTATTTACAAAAGAAATTCCACAGCATTTTACAAGTTTTGTCATTACATTGAATATTTTTTTCACTTCCAACAAATGTGTAGTGTCCTGATGCATTTTTGCCAGCCAAGGTTTGTTTATTCAGTAATCGCTTCAATCAAACACTGAGCATAATTATCTAGAATGGAAGCAAAAAATAAGTAAATTGTAATGATTAGAACACTGTATGCAGTTATAGTAAACAATGCAAACTGATTTTAACGATCACCAGCCCATGGCATCGATGCAGAATATTGGAGCAAAAAGTGTTTCCTGAGCAATTTTGATGTGTTCCAAATAAAAAATATTTTATTCCAGTCCAAATCAGCTCAATTACTTTAATAAAGAGTTATTGTATAATGTACAAAATGTTGATACATTTTGATGAATATTTACAGCTTCTGCTTCAATACCATAGATGATTCTGGCGCGATCGTCAACAAAACATCGCCCGTCTCCAGGGCAAGTGACTGGAAAATGATACCTGTGTTCAGTCCAATCGGTGGAAAAAAATCGTCACTCCCGGAATAACTACGCAAAATAACGATCTAAACTGGAATCATTCAAGTCACAATATAAACATAAAAATGATGACTTTCAATGCATTTGACAATGTACCGAAAAGCCGTGTTTTTCCTGATCGTTTTCTTCGCTAATGTTGATATAATCCGCCATTTTTTTTTAGTATGTTTGCGACCCGATTCTGTCCGGTGACATCATCAGGCGTGCTATAGAAGGAAATCTGTGATTCGTTGACTAAAATCGTCGATAGTGGGTCTCGTTGAAAACTCATTACATAGGCAGAGGCTCAGAAGTATGTAGGGCTGAATTAAAAATAAATCTCAAAATCAAAGTAGAATAATAAAATAAAAAGGCATTAATAACAAAAGAAATACAAAATAAAATAAAATAAAAATAAGTTTATAGCCAAAATAATTAAAGCCTGTACAATGCATCAGATTGTGATCACCCAAACCGTTCCAGGATCAATCACAAACACAGACAGTCTTCGCTTTCCTTCGCGTACACCAACCAACTTTCCCTCATCCTAACAAAAAAAATTTGTTGTTTTCTCCTAACATCCTGTCCCGGTTCATTTTTGAGAAATCCATGAACACCAAATATTTGTTCAGTCTTGTGAGCATATGCCGCATCTAATCTAAATACTGTACAATATCTTCTCAGTAGTCTGTGTTTAATCAGTACTAGAGGAAACTAAATTATACCTATAAACAAAATGATTTAAGGAGCTGTTTCTCAGAGATGACTAGGCCAATTTAGATCAAAGTTGGTATGATGCCTACTTTCCCATGAATGCAATGAACATTTCTGTTTAAATTTTGTACAAAGACAGTATAATACCAATAGATACGTCAACATCAACATTATTTTATAATTTGATTCAATATGACTGCCCAATGTCCAATTCTCGTGTAAAAGCACTAAATCATAATTTTTTACAAATCTATCAACTATTAATGGTTTCAATCTAATCTCAATGAATTCATCAGCATCAAATTGATATGTCAGATCACCAAATTTTGTACGGGGACTGTGTCATTAACAATTTTTAATATATTCTATATATTCTCTGCATAAACAAAAACTTTATATTTTTATAATCCAGTAGAAAGCAAGATGGATATGCAAATGAAAGAAGAAAAAAAATCAACTGATACTATTTCAAGTGGCAGTGGTGATAGTCAGAATGCCAAAATGGATACCAGTACAAAGGAGGAGAGTACAACAACCTCACAAACTATCAGTAACAACAGTGCAACAACAACAACTGCAGCATCAGTTGTGAGTGAGGAATCAGAACAATCAGAGCAAGCTAACAAAATGACTTCTGAGTCTGCCAACAAGCAGGGCACTGTGTCCACACCCTCCACACAAAGTGCCACACCTAAAGAAACTGTAGATTTTAAAATTGTTTATAATAAGAGAAAATATGATATTACATTTGAATTGGATAATACTGTAGCTAATTTAAAACAACATATCCAGACATTGACAGGTGAGTTGTATTCACTAGTCACTGGTGTATAAGAATAATCTTCTCTGTCACTGCAATGTCCTTTGAGCCAATGGAGCTGCATGTAAATCTTGGTGGCCTGAAATATGCAGAGCTTATGTGCCTCTGTCCATCTAATGTCATTTCTCAGGCATGCTATCAGTATCTATGTATTCAGTTTCTGCTTTGTTTGAAACTTCAATCTTTGAACCCTGTGAACATGTTGTTGAGTAGTACCGGTAGTTTATTTGCAGCTGCAGTTATTTTGTGGCTGTAAGTTAAAAATCTGTACAAAAGGCAAGACATGATACAATGGCACATGGACTGGGTTTACTGTCTCTTTGTTTCACGATTTTATTTTAATGGCCGCCTATATGGAATAATCTTTCAAAAAACGGTTACAAAAAGTGTATCATAGGTGACACCAATCTACTGGTACATTCATGATTGTCCATTTATGATTCACAGCAGGTATTGGAAAAAGATGATAGGAAACCCATTGCCAGCAATGTACACATATTGCACAGATCCACATAACCCATATGTTATGTTGTAAAGGAAATAATAACGATTGTTGAATATCATGTTTGAATGGCCTTGTCCATATTCAAATTACAAGTGTCCGAGATGTCACCTGATGATATGTTTCAATATCAATCTGTCAAACTTTAGTTCAACCAGAAATAATTAGTTACCATTACCTCATTGTTTCAGATGCCGGTAAGAAAAATGACAAGATCTATTATAGTGCTCATTGCAGACCTGTTCTGCATATAGTGCTCATCGCAGGCCTCTTCTATACATAGCGTTCATCACAGACCTCTTCTGTACACAGCGCTCATCTCAGATCTCTTCAACACATATTGCTCATCGCAGGCCTCTTTTTCACATAGCACTCATTGCAGACCTCTTCTGTACACAGCGCTCATCACAGACCTCTTCAACACATAGCACTTATCGCAGGCCTCTTCTGCACATAGCACTCATTGCAGGCCTCTTCTGTACACAGCGCTCATCGCAGGCCTCTTCTATACATAGTGCTCATTGCAGTTCTCTTTTACACGTAGTGTTCATTGCAGACTTCTTCTACACATAGCACTCATCGCAGGCCTCTTCTACACATAGCACTCATCTCAGGCCTCTTCTACACATACCTCTCATTGCAGACCTCTTCTACACGTAGTGTTCATTGCAGGCCTCTTCTACACATAGTGCTCATTGCAGACCTGTTCTGCACAAACCACTCAACATAGGCCTGTTCTACACATGGCATTCATTGCAGGCCTCTTCTACACATAGCGTTCATCCCAGACTTCTTCTACACATAGCACTCATCTCAGGCCTCTTCTACACATACCTCTCATTGCAGACCTCTTCTACACGTAGTGTTCATTGCAGGCCTTTTCTACACGTAGTGCTCATTGCAGACCTGTACTGCACAAACCACTCAACATAGGCCTGTTCTACACATGGCATTCATTGCAGGCCTCTTCTACACGTAGTGTTCATCGCAGTTTTCTTCTACACATACCACTCATCGCAGGCCTCTTCTACACATAGCACTCATCGCAGGCCTCTTCTACACATAGCACTCATCGCAGGCCTCTTCTACACGTAGTGTTCATCGCAGTTTTCTTCTACACATACCACTCATCGCAGGCCTCTTCTACACATAGCACTCATCGCAGGCCTCTTCTGCACATACCACTCATCGCAGACCTCTTCTACATGTACTGTTCATTGCAGGCCTCTTCTACACATAGTGATCATTGCAGACCTCTTCTGCACAAACCACTCAACATAGGCCTGTTCTACACATGGCATTCATTGCAGGCCTCTTGTACACATAGCGTTCATCCCAGACTTCTTCTACACATAGCACTCATCTCAGGCCTCTTCTACACATACCTCTCATTGCAGACCTCTTCTACACGTAGTGTTCATTGCAGGCCTCTTCTACACATAGTGCTCATTGCAGACCTGTTCTGCACAAACCACTCAACATAGGCCTGTTCTACACATGGCATTCATTGCAGGCCTCTTCTACACATAGCGTTCATCCCAGACTTCTTCTACACATAGTACTCATCTCAGGCCTCTTCTACACATACCTCTCATTGCAGACCTCTTCTACACGTAGTGTTCATTGCAGGCCTTTTCTACACGTAGTGCTCATTGCAGACCTGTACTGCACAAACCACTCAACATAGGCCAGTTCTACACATTAATGTAGCTAATATTTGAAAAAAGCTGAAAAGATAAATTTTCCTAGTTTTTAAAATCAGATCTGATTGGTCTTCATAAATTGTTTAAAAATGTGAAGATAATAATTTTTTTTAATAAAAATTCTTTGAGATACAAGCATATTTTTTCATGCAAAATATTGTTTTGAAAATAAAAAAACTACGCCAATTGTAGCTGCAGGTAAACTAGGTACATGTTGAATTTGTTGGGGAGCAGGGGTAGATGAAAGGATAATTGTATTAATTTTAGTGTGAACAGTCTCTTCATCAGCTGACGCCATTATATACCATTCATATCAGCTTTCTGTTGAGGCTTTTAAAAAGCTGTGTGTTAAAATAATGATTGTTATTTCAATGAATCTCTTCATATTTATAGCTGTTCCACCTGCAATGCAGAAAGTTATGTTTAAAGGTTTGATGAAAGATGACAAAACACTAAGAGATTCCAAAGTGATAAAAGGTGCTAAAGTGATGGTGGTTGGATCCACACTTACTGATGTTATCGCTGTCAATACACCAGCTGCAGAAGCTGCTAAAGAAGAGAAGACAGAAACAGGTGATTACTCCTCACTACCGACTTGTGAATTCTAGTGTATCAATAAGTGTGCACTCTAATCCAATCTAACACATTTCATTTCTCATTTGGCAATTTCACTTACTGTACTATTACGGTAGTAGTGTATGCACTTGCCTATAAGATGTGTGGCTATGGCCAAAATGAGTCGTATCTGAGGCAGTAAGAGGCTAATTCAAATTTTGCAATACTGAGCATGTTACTGCACATATGTGCAATGCATTGTGGGAGACAACTTCAAATTTTGCACTACTGAGCATGTTACTGTACATATGTGCAATGCATTATGGGAAGTAACTTCAAATTTTGCACTACTGAGCATGTTACTGCACATATGTATATTTGTATATAATAGAAAAATATTATCACACAAGAAATGTTTTTCACAATATTGGGACAATTATAATACTTATGAAAAAAGTGTGACAAAGTCAATTATGACAATTCTCCATGACATTTGGGACTCATACGGTGACCAACAATCTTTTTTGGCCCCCACCCATACGTTTCATACTTAACTAAATTCAAGGGTGGACCGAACTCATGACTTTTGGATCTAGAAACCAGCTAACTGTTTCATTCATGAGAAAGGTATTTATGGTTGTTAGCTTGATTGAACAACGTATTCCCTTAATATACAAACAGAAAAAATGCTTGAAAGGTTCTCTTCCATAAATCCCCTGTCTATACATCTTCTCAGCTCTGTGGGGGATGGATGTTCAGTGGAAAGAGGCCAATCTACGAGACTCATCTCAGGGCTATATACAGTCAAACCTGTCTATAAAGGACAGTCAGTGGACTGAGCCAAACTGTCCTTTATAGACAGATGGTCTTTATATGGAGGTGGCCTAATTTATTCATTTAATCATGAATATTAATTAGGGCCGGAATGTTAAGGGAGATCATAAGCAAAACATAAAAACAAACCTACAATGAACAGGTCTTTTTAATAAAAATCACTCATTTTCATTGGTGTTTCAGCTCGGACTTTCACACTCTCGCCATGCAGTCTTATTCCCCAGTCTCTTACACATATTCCATCACAGGCGGTAATCAGTCCCATCGTTAGTATTGTCGATTGTACACTGTGACAAAATGCACAGGAAAAGTTGCCGTGTTTGAAAAAACAAACATTAAAAATGAAGAAGCATTGGTAATAAACAAAATTTACCAAACTCATAACGATTGCTCCAACTCTCGGTGTTGAATCAGAAAGTCAAACGAACCGGAAATGAAACGCGGTGATCGTACATTTTACAGTTATTTGTTGCAAGCATCGACCTGTCAAAACTGCCCAAACAAATTTGCTCGATTGCGAATTATTGATATTACTGTTTATATAAAAAGAGGATCAAAATAGAAAACATCTTTCGTTGAGAATAACCCCGAGATGACCCCTCAGTAACAATACGTTTTGCCCATGCGCTAGCTTTAGTAGCATAATTTATAACGATCAACAACAAACAACATGGCGGCCAAAATAGGTCGGACTTTGCAATCCCGCGATGAAAACGAATGTTTTATTATTTTGTTGGATATTTCATGTCGACAATGTAAATAAAACATCTCTCATTTAATAAATCTGGTTCATTGTTCTTGTTTTCGAGACGGGGGGAGTTTGCTCTTCATGTGCGAGACAGTCCACAGAAGTGCCGCTGGCCGGCTGGGGATCGATAGTATACCGGGGGTGGTACCGATCAGAAACAAGCTAGTTTTTCATTTCAAATTTTGAATGAAACTGTTTTAATTTGTTGTTAAAATCTTTCCAGTCTCCAGACGTTACATTCAGATGATATTCAACTTTTTTTTTAGCTCCGCTGTTGACTTTGTCGAGCGGAGCTTATCATATGAGTGATTGTCCGACGTCGTCGTCCGGTGTCCGTCGTCCGTGTCAATGTTTTACTTTTTCGACTTCTTCTTGAAACTACATGGCCTGAATGCTTTGAAACTTGGTGTATATGTACCTTGGGTAGACCTCTCTCAGATTTGTTCATTTCATGA